CAGGAAGTGTTCAAGGCAGTTAGAAGCACCAAACTCTGGGGAACTTTTAGTTCACATTTCATGATTTGTGTGTTACGCCTTAAACATTAAAACAAGGTTTTTGTTGCCATATCTAATTTGCTTCTTTGAAACTGGTCTTTTGGAAGTTGAGAAAAAGATAGGGGACACATTCAAAAATGGTACTCAAAACCACTCAACAAAAAGTGTTCCCTTAGAGGACAGATATTTTTTTCCCCTTGAGTATGTTGACAGTCATCAAGGTGACTAAAATACCTAGTATATCTTAGTGAGAAGCTATTTTTAAAATCATTTGGCTTAGAAAACTCCAATCACGATAATTTCATGGGAATTCTTGGTACACAAATTAAACGTTTTAAATTACTCTGCAAGGATCTGAGAGTTCAAATAATCTTCATTTAAAAATACCTGCATTGATGCATATTTATCAGGTCTCCTTAAGGTCTGCCCCTGATAGAAACTCATGTCCCAGGTTTCCTTGTGTGCTGTGTAGCTCCTGGGGTCAGTGACAGCTACCAATGACACAACAGGGCACTCGAGGGCCCATGCTAGTCCTTCCTGACTCTGCCGCGTTAACTTTTTGGTTTTGAAAATTGCATTTACTTTATCTTAGTGGGCCTGTCCAAAGAGAAACAATTCCCACCTCAAAGCACTGTTTCATGGGTTAAATGAAACACCCAGGTGAGGGTTTAGTAAGCCACAGGTTTTATATAATATTACATGGTCTTAAAATTGCAAGCCAGATACACTGTCACTGTCTCCAGGAGAAAAGCCACAGAAGGACTCTGATATGGAAAGATTATCAACCTGGCTGTCTGAATGCTTTCCAGATCGTGACCTTGGCCGATCCAGCCTGGCTTTCCTCTGGGAGAAAGGTGAACTATCATATAAGGGGTACATGGGGGTTAAAAGTCATGTGAAGACCTCTAACAGGACAGGCACACAGTAGGTGTTCAGTAAGCTGAAGTCTATTTAAAGAACTCAAGACAAGTAAGCAACAACCCCAACCTTCAACACTAACTGGGAACAGCTGAGCCGTTTTCAGCTTAGAACAGTGTGGCTGTTAATACAGACTCAAATCCACATCTGCCACCAGCACACTGGCCTTAGCCCACTTTAGACTGCGGGAATTAAGGCTGTGTTTGTGGTATTCCCAGGTCCTGCCTTGGAAGCTTAGAAGGAACTTCAACATAAAGTCCACCCTCCCCAATGTGTCAACTTCAAGTTCAGGTTTCTTCTTAAGCTGCTTGTCCCAAGATGAATTATTTCACTTTACACAGAACAGGGAGTGAGGCCTGGGGAATGGGTACATGGTGGGCCTGCTATGGTCTCCGAGGCTGTGCAAGATGACCACAGGCCTCCCCAGCTCCAGCCCTAGAGTCAGGCCTCTGGAGGGGTGGGAGCAACAGGCAGGAAAAAGGCCCGGGGTCATGTGTGTGTCCAGCCTCCCTCTCCCGGGAAGCCCAAGTGATTAAGGGGTGCAGCTGGGGTGGGGGCTCAGTTTGGGATGGGGTGCAGCATCTCTGGAGGGGGGAGCAACAGTCAGGAAAAAGGCCCGGGGTCATGTGTGTGTCCAGCCTCCCTCTCCCGGGAAGCCCAAGTGATTAAGGGGGGT